TTTTTTTATGAATATATCTATTTCTACCCCTCTATTTGAGAGGCCAATTTAAGCGTTTTACCATTAATTAAATAGATCCTCGTAGAAAGCGAAACTATACAGTCGCAGTGATTTGTACCTAATGGTCAATCTGGAATCTACTCAATTACTCCCAAAATAAATACTAAAAATTAAAATTAATTCTTTTTTTTTTTTTTTCTGAAATTGGAGTTTTGGAAGAGCAAAACAAAAAGAAAGAATGATATTCATAAAAATAAAAAAAAAGAATGAAATTAGCAGTTTTTTTGTTCTGTTTAATAAATACTAAAAATTAAAAATTTTGATCCAAGAGGTAATTATTTCGTCGAATGCAGTCCCGCCAAACGCTCTCTTCCATTACCTTTGATTCGATTCCTCGCCGGAATCGATGAAATCAGCGTAAAATTCCTCAAGCGCCGTCGTGTTCGGATTTTGAATTACATGAATCGCAGACGATGCGTTGTTGTTGTTGTTGTTCTTCTCTGAGAGATCGGATTCTGCCGTGGCTTCGCGATTATGATCGGCTCCAATCCCTCGCCGTCGTCCTCATTTACATTCAAGTATGAAATTCCACTTCTCTCCGTTTATCTCTCTGTATTGATGACAGTTATTCAGCGAATTGGCCTCTTTTTCATTGTTCCTCCCCAAAACCTAGGGTTTTTCTGGTGTATGGATTGATTTTGGAAATGATTATAGATTGCTTGCGCATTGATTGGATCGCTGGGGGCATTGTACAACGGCGTGCTGCTCATCAATTTGGCTATTGCCTTGTTCGCACTCGTCGCCATTGAGAGCAGCAGCCAGAGCTTAGGCCGGACGTACGCCGTTTTGCTCTTCTGCTCCCTTCTCCTCGATGTCTCCTGGTTCATTCTGTTTTCTTACGAAATTTGGTACCTGTCTCTCCGCTAAGTCGTTACTCCTGCCTTTCTTCACCTTGTTTTTCTCCGTTTTAATGTCATTCTTTCATTTCAGGCACATTTCCTCGGATTATGGAGCACTTTTCATCTTTTCGGTCAAACTCACTCTCGCCATGCAAATTGTTGGGTTTTCGGTGAGGTTATCCTCCTCGTTCCTGTGGATTCAGATTTACAGGTTGGGGGTTGGTTATGTTGATGGGAATGGTCCTCGAGATGCCGATTTTGATTTGAGAAATAGTTTCCTCAGTCCTGCAGCTCCTTCCATAGTTAGACAATGCTCTGGGAATGATGAGGCTTTAGGAGGCTCCATATATGACCCTGCTTATTACTCGTCTCTCTTTGAAGAAGGACAAGACACCAAGAGTTCCTTTGTGGTATCTTTCTTGCACATCCATGTCTCTTTTATTGTTACTCACCTTTATAATTTTCTCTTTTCATACTTGCTATTCAAATTATGAAGGTGTTTTCATGGTAGTTATGTGTCATTGTCCCATGGTTTTTGTTTTCATTCTGAGTTATACCACCCTTTCACATGTCGGTTTCATTTGTGTTCTAGTTTTTGTCCTTACAGTTAGTGACATGGGTGAGTGTATATCAGTTTTTCCAATTTTCATGGTTTTTTTGTAGGGTCATAATGATGCTAGTGGAAACAATGGATCTACTTCTTGTGCTGAAGTTTCTCAACTGAAGCCATCAGCTGGCAGATTAGAGGCTATTGAAGTAAGTATCTGTCGTCGTTATTTTCTTGTTTATTTTCTTTTAGAGAAATGTTTTTGATGTGGCTTGATTCTTGAAATTATTGACATCTGAAGAAGAACTAAGGTTGGGATTATCACAATGGTGAGAAAAACAAATACAGATTCTTGGGATTTATTATAAGCATTTACTTTCACTGCTTGTCATTTGCCATTTTGAATGTCCTTACTTTACTCTATTTTTGTGTGATTTTTCTTCTTAAGTCCCTTTAAGTTCATCTTGTTGTCCTGGTCTACTTCAGCATTCCCTTTAGCATGCTAAGGTTGTCTTCTAATATTTGTGATTTACTCATGTTTATTTTGGTTGAAACTAGTTGTGATTTATTCTTTCTAAATTCTAATTATCTGTTAAATGTATTTGATAGTTAAGGTTCTATTGTATGCATTTTAAAAGCTAATTTCATCACCTGATTACCTTTTTCACTTTCCTTCTCTCTTTGGTTGTTAGTAAGAAAGTTTCATTGCTCGGTATCAGCCACTGATACTTGTCCCCTTTCCAATTTGAAAGAATGGAGAGATGTATAAACATTTGGCTGTGTGTGCACACTGATGGAGTAAAAATTTTACATTAAACTCTCTCCATCATTAATCAGCATATTTTTCTAATTTGTGTACCTATCCTGTCAGTTCTTGTTATTATGATCCCAAATGCTTTCTGATTGTGATTGTGAGTATGGTTTGGTGTTAGTCGATTCTCTGGAAACATAAACTATTCTAAGCATAAGTGCTGGTCAGTGGTCAGGGCTTTGCTTTTGCTTATTTCTGTATGGTTGATGTTACTGTTTGGCTAGTATGCCTGACGAGTTTGGCAATATGGTTATCTTAAAAGCTAGGACATCTTTACTTTCATTTTCAACTTATTTGCTGATGAATCATGGTTGGGATGCATTTTTGTTATGCTGGCTCATGCAAATCAACTTAATAAATCTTCTGCTCTTTTTCCATGCTTGAGTTATTCATAATGGTTTCTACTGAGTTATATAAACTGTGTTGGTCTCTTCTGCTAATTTCTGTCATTCTTTGGTGCCTCTAACCTGAGACATTCCTTGCAGGAGGAGGAGGATAATGAAAGAAAAATGCTTGGGAACATTTGAATCTGAGCATGAAATCTGTGAGAAGTCCAGCTTGGTATCCACCTCTGATACATTTTGTTTTGATTTTCTTTCTTTGTTGAGGCCATAACCAGGGTATCAATAGGAGTCGGATCTGTACAGCTTCACATTTTTTGCCATTTTTTTTCCCGAGATTTAGATGCAAATATTGAAGTTTGAAGAACCAGTTGTTCGTTGGCGGAAAAAAAAAAAAAAGAATCAGTTGTTCATTCAGCTTATCTCATGAGGAATACAGTAAATGTAAAAGGTTTTGCTTTTGAGAAGCACTTTTGGTGTTCATTATTCATTGTAGCAACTAGCAAGCCAAGGATGCCCGTCTTGGCTCAAGGTTCTTGATCAGGAACCAACACTCCTAACACGCAGGTAATGCACAGCTATTATGCTTTTCTCGAAATATATGCTTTGCATTGACTATTGACTTTGGATCTGCTAGGCCATGGTTAGGTATTAGCGTTGTCATCCTGGTTGAGGATTTTTTTTTAGCTCATTCTCCGAATTGGTCGAATAGTTACTTGGAATGGTAAAACAATATAACTTTCTTTTTGTCATTATCGGCTTTCTAGTGATGTCTTTTGCCTCTGAATGACTATGAATGACATTAAGTATTCTTTTTCAAATTTTCAATAAATTCATGCAAATTTTATTCCAGACAGAAGCTGCTTGGTTATTATTTCTTTTTATCAGCCAAGAGAGAAATTGCTTGATAAATATAAACAATTCGAGCATTACCTTCTGTGTATGATTTTTTTTTTTTTTATTAATCTCTTGATATTTAGTAATCATATTGAGTCCTGATTAATTCAGAATTAAGTCGCGTTGAATCTTATAAGAGAAATTCTTCCAACACTTGTTCTTTTATTTACATGACTCAAAATTTAAATCTTATTTAAGGGATATCGAATTCTTTTCACTCATTGATACGTTTGTATGACTTTAGTACTACATTATTACATCCATGAATCGTTCATCCGTGTTACACTTCTCTTCCGAGTCTTCCCAGGGTCTATTTGGAAGGTTCTCCCAAATTCTCAATAAATAATAGTAAAATCTCTTTTTTTATTTTAAATTATATAATAAAAAACAAATCTTTCACATCTGATATCGAATTCTTTTCACGTGAGTTAACAGGTCGTTGATACCTTTGTATGACTTTAGTATTATGCTATTACATCCATGAATAGTTCATCCATGTTACACTACTCTTTCGAGTCTTCCCTGGGGTCTATTTGGAAAGTTCTCCCAAATTCTCAATAAATAATGGTAAAACCTCTTTTTTTTTTTTAATTTATTTTAGGTTTTATAATAAAAAAACAAATCTCTCACATCTATGTGAAATTTAAAATTTTGCATTTTTATAAAAATAAAACTATTATTAAATTATTTAAGCAATTGATAATTAAAAAAAAAAAAAAAAAACTCTTAGGTACGTTGGGTTTGGTTTGA